TCAAGAGAGCTTGGAAAATGCAGGGGGGAGTGGAGACACACACAGAGAATAAAATAGGTGGTGTTACAAAGAATTTTAGAATTCCTGGCTGCATAAGCACAGTTTTGAATATAAGATTCTTAATCTGCAGTCACCTCTGCAAATCTGCCCAAGAAAAGTAAAGCTCAAAACTCACGAACAGATTCCCTGAGAGAAAACCCAGGGATAAATATATTGCCTGTGTGTATCTTCCATTTTGCAGAAGAATAACAACTTGCATACCCACAGGAAAATGAATGGGAAAAAAACCCACAGTGAATTGGAGAATGATAGATAAGGCTAAATACAGGAAGAGGAACTTGATCATTTTTTCTTAAAAATCCATATCAAACCATTATAAATATTTTCTAAGTTACTAAGTGATTTTATGCCCCTTCTAGTAAGCAGTTGACTTGTTTATGTAACAAAACACTGATATATTTAATTTCCTACAAATAAATTACAAAATAAGGATATTTAATGCATATTTTATTGGATAAGAAACCTACCACATTACATTTTAAATGAATGACTTAGAATGTATTTTTAGTTTGTGGCTACCACTGTAATTCTGGGGATTTACTCCTGAACTACAATCAAGTTTATTATTGCAAGTGTTTTATTATTGATGGGCATTAGTCTGGTTTTTGTTTTTAATTGCAACTGACTTTATTGTTCTCAGTGATCTCAAATGTGACGGAATTTCTTTCACTATCCCTTCACCTTTCATATTTAGAATTGAAAACAAATATCGATGTATAAAAGGCTGTCAGTTTTTTTTGCTGATAAAGCTGGATTGAAAATCAAGCTTTTGGAGCTGGGGTTGTGGCTCAGTGATAGAGCACTTGCCTGGCATGTGTAAGGTACCGGATTCCATCCTCAGCACCACATATAAATAAATAAAATAAAGGTCAGTTGACAACTAAAAAATATATTTTAAAAAATCAAACATTCCTTTTTAAAATTAATTCATTCATTTATTCTAATTAGGTATATATGACAGCAGAATGCATTTTGATTCATTGCACACAAATGTAGCACAATTTTCATTTCTCTGGTTGTACATGATGTAGTGTCACAACACATATGCTGTCATACATGTACCTAGGGTAATGGTGTCCTTCTCATTCCATCATCTTTCATGCCCCCATCCCCTCTCTCCTCCCCTGCCTTTGCCCCCCTCCCCATTATGGGTCAGCATCCACTTATCAGAGAGAACATTCTACTCCACTTAAAAACTAGTCTAACATAACCATAACTTGTTTCCCCATCCTTCTCAACCTCTCCCCAATCTTCTCCATTTCATTCCTAGTTGTTGGATGGAGAAGCCTGACCTGATGAAATTGCTATCTATCTATCACACGTCAACCTCTACCCTTCCTATATGCAGACTTGCTGGGAGAATGTCCGTCCAAAGAAGGGCTGAAATGCTCACACATGTATATGTCCCTTCTTGCAATCTCACCAGAGAAGTCATTCACTCATTCATCCATTCATTTGGCAAACACTTACTGGGAACTTACCATGAACCATGCAGGAGGCAAGTATCTAGGTACATGAGTCAGCCTGTTAAAGGGCAAACCTTGTCCTTGTGATGCTTACATTCCAGGGAAAGAGACTGCCAACCAACAGAGGAATGGATTAGCAGTGATGAAGTAGTGCTAAGGACTAAGAGGAAAGATGGACCAGGGTCAGGGGATGAAGAAAGGAGGCAGTAGATAAAGAGACATTTGAAACCCTGAAGACATTTAGACCCTGCTTTGAGAACAGGAAAACTGAAAGGAAGGGTTGAAGATAACTTTCAATACTAGGGGAAAAGGGCTGAGTTTCTATTTGATCTTTTGGAGAGAATGTTAGAGTGCGGGAGGGACCAGATTCCCTTTAATCCCTGGTTTCCTTCTTCTATTAACACTTCACACTTAACAAGGCGACCCATTATCAGCCTAAAGGGCAAACATGCTCCCTTCAGGGAGAACAGCAGTTTATCAGCACAGTCTTGAGCTCGAAATGCTACTAGCAATGTCAGTCTCTCTTTCATTTATTTATTTTGTTATTTATATATGACAGAGGAATGCATTACAGTTCTTATTACACATATGGAGCACAATTTTTCATATCTCTGGTTGTATACAAAGTATATTCACACCAATTCATGTCTTCATGAATGTACTTTGGATGATAATGATCATCACATTCCATCATCATTAATAACTAGATGCCCCCTCCCTTCCCTCCAACCCCTCTGCCCTATCTAGAGTTTGTCTATTCCTCCCATGCTCCCTCTCCCTATCCCACTATGAATCAGCCTCCTTATATCAAAGAAAACATTAGGCATTTTTTGGGGGGGAGCGGGGGGGGATTGGCTAACTTCACTTAGCATTATCTTCTCTAACTCCATCCATTTACCTGCAAATGCCATGATTTTATTCTCTTTTATTGCTGAGTAATATTCCATTGTATATATGCCACATTTTTTTAAATCTGTTCATTTATTGAAGGGCATCTAGGTTGTTTCCACAGTTTAACTATTGTGAGTCAGTCTCTTTTATGTATCTCGCTAGAGCCCCTAGAGGTTCTGATATGGGGTGAGAAATGTACTGATTAAATCAACCTCAACATTACTTTGAACTGTAGAACTTTACTCTGATTTATTTACACATTACGCTTAACTAGGTTGTGCAATATGGATCATTAGAGGTTTTGCAATGATTCCAGATGATATTCCAAGTAATACCAGCCAAAGGGAGGGAAAAAAAAGCTGTTAATTACAGCAATATAAACTGTCCCTGATTTCTACATTTCCAAGAAGAATTGAAGCCCCCAAATTAAAATTCTTGCCTTTATAAATTAAGACATTTTCTTATCCTACCCATCTTCAGCCAGAAAGTTCTCATTCAAGTTCAAGGGTATTGACAATGTTATTAGATCACTTTTCCAGCACCTATAAAATTAAAATGACCCAAGTCCAAATATTTCCAGGATCTTACTTGTTTCCAATTCTCAGAGGCAAAGAGACCCATAAGATATTCATTGCAGTATTCTCACACTCAGAAACCATAATACCAAATACACAAGAGTTACTTCAGCCAAATGATGCGCAAGGACTCAAATATTTTGTACAGTCTAGGTCTCTATGTTGTTACCAGAAACATTAAAAGGAAGATCCCTGAGTGCACTGTTCTAGGATGCCAATCAGTCAGGGTTCCTTGTCAAAAAAGTCCACAGCCTGTGAACCTAGACTAAATTGGTAGAATGAGAATTCAAAGACAACCACACATTGCATCTGGGTGGTATGTCCTTTATAATTGTTTTAATCTATAAGAGATCACTTCTCCCTTCATTGTTATTTTTTTATTAAAGAAACTAAATAATTTGCCCTTTTAAAATTTTCTGTATTCTGACTTTTACTGAAATGCTTCTCTATGGTGATGTTTAGCATGTTCCCTGAACCCTCTGTATTTGTAGGTTGGCAGTTAGACCCCGGGAACCTTAAAATCGGGTTCAATTTTTTGTTTTGGGGGGCACATATACAGTTATATTTTAAACATTTGATGTCTTTTTTTTTTTGCCTTTTATTTTTAAACCACTTGTTTCCTTTGAAGAAAGCACCTTTCTTGCTTTTCTGTTCTCCTGGCTTTGGAATCCAATATTTATGTGTCTAAATTCTATATTTCATCTCTTAGAATCCTCAATATCAAGAGACTGGAAATCAAATTCAAATTTTCTAAAAAGATCCAGTTGTCAAGTAAATCATATCTTCCTTTATCTTCTTGAATTATATAATCCTTTTTAATTGGTATTCTAACACAACTCTGGACTTGATCTGTCATTGTCTTGCACGTCTCCTGTCTAGTATACACCCTCTCTCCATACTTTCAAAAACCCAAGCTCCACAAATGTCAACTAACTAGAAGAGCTAAGCTTTAAATCATAGTGTTAACTAGGGCTTCATACTCTGAGGGTATGTTCTGTGCTTAAGTCCTAGAAAACAATGGACAGGAGAAGAAACGATTATACTTACAGTGTAACAGGCAATCAAAAAGATTTAACAACATTTTAAAAGGAAATTGATTTGAGGTCAGAAGACATGAAATCAGGTTTCTCGCCCATTACATTTTTTACTTTGAGAAAAGTAAATTGAGTGGGATTTTATTTCCACATCTATAAAGTAATAACAGAAATCTGGTCTATCTCTGAAGCCTCTTCCAAGTTTAATAATTCTGAGATTCCAATTACCTTCCAATTTATGATACATTCTGGGCCTCAACCCTATTCTTTAGTTAAAGGTAGAACTTCTCACATCAAAAGAACTTCATTTTATTTAATGAGGGAATCCAGCCTCAGAAAGGAACATAAATTACTCATTCTCCTACCCACATTTTATCTAAAATATTCTTTTTTGCCAATATGTCAATTCAATCTCTGAAAAATGTGATGGATTTTTGTCTGACCTCCCCCTTAGATACTGTGAGGGTATAGAACATTAATCAGTTATTTCTTCAATTCCATAAAGTATATCCTGTGCTCCCTCTGATCAGGGACTCTTCTGGGTACTGCACATAGCAGTGAATGAAACTGGAAAAGTTTTTGGTTTCACACAATCAGATAGTGGTAAGGTCTGCAGAGATGATAAGATTGGATGATGAGAGAATGAATGGGCGAAGGCTACACTGTGTGTTGGGTGGGTAAAGATCCTTTCTAAGGAAATGCCACTTAAACAGAGACTTAAGCCATACAAAGAACCTGCCATATGTAGACCCAGGGTGAGTGTACCAGACGGAGGAATAATGGGGGCAAGCTCTTACACTGGGAACGTGGCTGGTGAGAAATGCAAGGTCCGTGGTGTGAAGGCCTTGGAGGCCAGGAATTTGGTATTGACCTTAAGACAGAGGGAAAAATGGTCAGATTTGATTTTTAAAAGGCCACTCTAGCTTGGTCATTCTCTATTGGAAAGTCACTCACCACTTCTGTCTTCCTAACAGTTTTTGCCAGAATCCTGCGGGCTCCTGAATCCCACAATGTCTCCTTTGGCTCCTTTGTGACCCTGCGCTGTACAGCAACAGGCATCCCTGTCCCCACTATCAGCTGGATTGAAAATGGAAATGCTGTGAGTGTCATATGTATGGGGACTTGTTTGGGGAAGACCCATTGGTGGTGAAGTTCAAGACAGACCATAGATTTGGGGAGTTATTTTTATTTCTGTCATTGGTCCCACCTGCATCTATTTTTGTCCTGGAAATCACTGTCTTAGAATTTGGATGCCAGGAGTTTGCTTCTTTTCTTGTATCACTGGGAATAGTCAGAAATCAAATGCTTTCTTTATGCCTTTGTGTAAAAAAAAGAAGAGGTAACGAGTCCTTTCCATGCATTTTCATAAAATCCATCAGTGAAAGATTAGTTCCCTGCTGGAAGCTACTTTAGGGAAAAGCAATCTGGAATTAGAATCCACATCTGTCAGTTCAACATACTTTTCTTCATTTTTAATACTGGTAATAAGAGCTAACACATATGAGGTAATGTTTTGATCCAGGCCCTGCTTTTAACACTTTATTTTTTCATTCTATAAATATATGTTGAGCATGGGAGCATTGAGCATTACTCTAGGTCCTGTAGAAACAGGAGCAAATGAAACAGGCAAAGTTCTCTGCCCTTAAAGAGAGCTGGCACCTGATGAATAAAGACAGACAAACAATAAGACAAAGAAGAGACTATATATTTTATGTAGATTCTATCAAATGCTGTGAAAAAAATAATAAAGGTAGAAAAGAAGGCAGAAAGATTGACCTTAGGGAGAGAGAATCTGTTTTCAACAGGGTCAAGCTTCATTAAAACAAAGACATTTGAGCAAATCTCTGAGATGAAGGAGATTATGTACATATCTTGACAAGATAACCTGACAAAGGCTCTGAGATAAGGATATGCGTGTTCTATCAGAGAAACAGCAAGGAAGCCAGCATGGCTAGAGGTGGATGAGCAAAGCAGGAAGGGGTGTGTGCAGGCCTTGTGGATCCTACAGATTTGGGTAGGTCATGGAAATAACTTTGGCTTTTATTTGCATGGGATGGAATATCATTGTAGGTCTTTTTCCGTTGTCTGTTTTCTTTCTGATTCTTGCTCATTGTGTTCTGTTTTCTTGTGTGCCTTGTTATCTTTGGTTATCTGTAGTTCATTGTATTGAAAAAATGTCAGAAACTAATTTGAGGTCTAGATGAAGGTAATTTCCCTTGGAGAGAATTTTTTCTTGTCTCTGCTAGGGAACAAGAGCTGCTTCTAATCTTGGACTACCTCAAAACAATCTCAAGGTTTGAAGCTCCTTGGACATCCTAGATAATTATAATGAATGCTTTATAATTATAATGTCATTCTTTATGTGGGCCACTTCACTTGTAGTTCACACTGAAATGTCCCTGATATCTAGTTCTTTGAGTTCTCAATTTATTGTATCTTTAATGCTCTAATGCTTTTATGGGCTCTGAGTTTTGATTTGGCTATCCAAAAATAAGTTCAATTTTTCTGGCTTTGAAAAAGTATCTTAACCAGTGGAGAATATCTAAGTTTTGTTATATGTGTTAAAATTTTTTTTCAGAATTTTAATTTTTTTGTGTGAGGATTTGTCTGAATAACCTAGCTTATCCAATATCTCAAAAAGGAACCTGTCATGAGTTATTATTGTCATTATATTTTATAAGTTCTATCATTTGTCTATTTACATTTGATTTTCATGCAATTTCTAGTTCCTGATATGCTTAATGCATTAGGTAAAGTGAAAATATGTTAATTCTTAATTTAATAATTGCTTTTAATTGAAAGATATTTTATAAGCAATAAAATTCCTTGCCACCAATTATATGGCTTTTTGATGAACATGTAATTTTCACTTTGAATTGAAGAATTTCCTTTATTTGAATCATTTTTATTCCTTGAAACATTGTTTTGTTTGTTTGTTTCATGGTGTTATTTCAAATTGCTCCAAATTTTATTCTAGATTACTGCCTCCATTTTAAAAAATGGGAATGGTCTATTCTTTTAGTGCGCTATTATGATTATGCTGCTAATAATATTATGCCAGGCTTATAGAATTGATTGGCACATTTATGTATTTTCCTTTGGTACAGAGCTGGAGGTGAGGAAGATGAGATGCAAATTTCTCTCAAACTCAGATGTTACCTCTACTGTATCTCTGACTAATGCTTTTCTCCTCTCCACGTTCTCTCTAGTTAGACTGCTATTAAATGGATTTGGTTCAAAACATCAATCTTTTAGTTCTTTTGGTTTTGCCTATTTTTGTGGAGAGATAGGGTAGCCCTACATAGTCTGTATGCTTTTCCTCAGGCTCTGTTACCCATGATAGTTGTCCACCATAGAAACTCCCAACAAGGAAATCTCATCCACAAGCTCTGGCTCATGAGCTGATGCCTGGTGCTCCATGTATAGCCCCCAAAGTTCTTCAGGTACCTTGCTGACTTTCTCTAAGTCTACTTCTGCTTACAGCTTACCTGTCTCACCTTTGAAATTTTCCAGGACTCTTGGAAAAGTGTGTGTGTGTGTGTGTGTGTGTGTGTGTGTGTCTTTTTTTATTTTTAGTTGTCGATCGGCCTTGATTTTATTCATTTATTTATATGTAGTGCTGAGCATTGAACCCAGTGCTTAACACAAGATAGGCAAGTGCTCTACTACTGAGCCATAACCTCAGCCTCCAAAATGTGTCCCTTCCCTCCCAGGAAACCTCTTCTTTTGTGTTAGATTTTAGTTAATTGATATTAATCTGTCTATCAATCCAATCACATCATCTCTCTTAATCTTCCAAAAATTACTAAAAATGTCTGATCCTTTGATTACGATACCTTCCATCTTTCTCTGAACTTATTTTTCTTGATTTTAGAGTTTATTTATCTGATAAGATTTCAGGTAGAAAAAGAATAAAGATATGAGCTAAAATGATTATTATTGTAACTTAGGCATTGAATAAGCATGATTTTCATGTAATACAATCTTCATTATTTTCTCTGTCCTTTATTCAGCAAAGTGGGTTCTTTTGCTACCAGAGAAGCCTACCTCAAGCAGGCTCTGTGATTTTTCTGGACACTAGTATATAATTTTAAATCATTAACATCATCCTAATTTAGTAATTTGAGGTGTCTTGTCCTAAGTAATAACTGAAACATCCAAATGCATTCATAAGCAGGAAGACATATTCCTTCCTCCCTTCTCAGGACTATTGTAGTCATGCTACCAGCCTTCCACAGAGGAATTGTGGTTGGTTTCTTAGCTCCTGCTCACCTGTGATCCTCTCACTTCTTAGCTGCTCTGTGTCACTATGTCAGGGTTGGGTAGGAGGAAGAGAGGAGAAGTAATTGGAGCAGGAGAGTTATCATTTAATTGATGCCCTTGCAATTTCACCTTATACCTTCTGCACCTGCCAAGTATTTTAAATTGTATTTTTCCCTCATGGACATGTTCATAATTCTTCAGAGACTAGGGAACATTTAAGACAATACAAGGAATGCGTTTTCCTTAGCAGCCCTCTTCTGTTTAGCCCCCAATTTGTTAGTTGATAGGAGGTCTCTTTATTGGAGTCATTTATTCCCCCAAAAGGTCCTCTTGGGAAGATGGAAAGGGACTACAATTCAGATCTTCTATAAAAACCTTTGTATCTAAGAACTCTAGGAGCCTAAATCATGAAGAGAGCTTCCTTCTCTTTGCTTCTTCCATTGGAGTTGCCAGGAAGCTCAACCCTGCCCTTTAGACATTTGTCCATTTTGTCTACACATTTCAGGTGTGTTAGCATCCACAAGACCCCAAACACACATTCATGCACACTCTTGTTTGATGATTCTTTAGAAACACTCACAGAACTCAGAAAAGCTATTATGGCTAAAGTTTAGGGCAGGAAAAGAAAAATGATTAAAATCAGTAACAGGGAATCAGTTTTCCTCTCCCAATAAAGCTGCAACAACAATACTTAATTCCCAACAATCATATGTGACAACATGTTTAAGTACTGCCATCCAGGAATGCTCAACCTAGCATAGGTATCCAGAGTTTTTACTGGAGTCGATTATCAGACAAAGAGTACTGACAGGACTGATCTTAGACCTCCAGAAATAAAATGGATGCAGTATGTTCTAGGGTTACAGGTGAACAGAAAGAAGTATTCATTATAACTCACATGGTTAATGTAAACTATCTGGTATGGCCCAAATTCTCAGGATGCAAAGATACGAGTATCAGACAGAATATTCCAAGGGTAATAGGATGTCCCCAAGAGCCACAGGGAGGACCTTTCTTTGTAAGGTGCAGGGTTTGAGCACCTTAAGCCCATCAAACTAACCTTTTAATCCTTTACTACACAATAGGAGACTTAAGTCAACTCTTAAGCTTATCCTAGCTAGGACACCCTGTCATTCATTAAAGAGATATGGTACATGTCCAAACCAGACCTTTGGGTGAGGAAAGAATGACTCTCAGAATAACTTACCAACACAAACCTTGATAAGTCATCCAACTGGTGCTTGGTTATTTTCATCTTCCATCTCCTGTAGGATAGTCTTTTTTTTTTTTGGTATCTTGGTTGTAGTGAACACAGGTTATCATATTGCACTATATTAACAGTAGCATACTAGAGACAAAGGATGTCTCAAATTATGCTTTGTTTGTTTTTTAACATTTGTTTTTTAGTTGTAGGTTGACACAATACCATTTTTTTAATGTGGTGCTGAGAATTGAACCTAGGGCCTCACACATGCTAGGCAAGCTCTCTACCTCTGAGCCACAATCCCAGCCCCCTCCAATTATTTTTAAAACAAGTATTTCAACAAGAAAATGGGAGACTTCTTTTTTTTTTCTTATAGGTAGGCAAAGTCTTTTGGTATAATTCACATCATATTAAATTCTATTTCCACCCAACCTAAGGCACTTTCCTTCATGGACTTGAGTTATTGCATATCCTCTCAACTTTCTCTTCTCCAGGATTGCATTAATTTGCTAGAGCTAACAATATCAGAATAGAATGGATGGGGTGACTTAAACAACTGAAATTAATTTTGTCATGGCTCTGAAGACTGAAAGTTCAAGATCAAGGTGCCAGCTGGGCTGGTTTCTAGTGAG